ATAAATCTTTAATAAGGGTTCTAGTCATTATAAATCACATAAGCTAATGAGGTACTGTTCGTAACATTTTATCATTTTGTTACTTATATTTATATTAAGTAGCCTTCAAGGCTATCCGGTAATAAGAACTCTCATTCAAGATTTTTTAATTGTCTCAAAGCCCATTTTCTGTGAGTATACGTAGCATGGTAAATTGTTATTTTTAAAAATACTGGACTGGCCTAGCTACAATCCTGATTAGCTGTCGATTGGCTTTACTACAACATTCATGCTGACGCTGTTTCCGAGGCAATCTCTTTCGATTCCGGTGAGGAGGTGCTAAACTCTTGTTCGTCATAAGACGAACATGATCATAGTAAGTTATCATCGTCACAGCAAAATTCAAGTTGACGAGTCAAGAAAAATCACCGGAAAATCCCTAAAAAGTGGTATATATACTCTACATCTGGCCTCTTTGATCAGTTATAAAGTAATTTGGTTAGTTACGGTCATATGTAAATTTCGATGTCTGTATTTGTATGTGCCTGTTTGTGACATATGATCTTAACTAACCAAGAGGAATCCGCCGTCGTCTTCTGGTGGAAACGACCTTGGAATCTCTTTACCAAACACTTTCATTCAAAATGGAAGTACGCTCAACAATTATGGAACAAGAGATTCCTCGAAACCTAATTTTTATTCGCATATATTATCTACAATTTCACTATAGATTGCGATATAGAAGAGTTCTGACCCTCCTTAAAATTCACGTCTCTTCTGTGATCCCTGGCGTCCATGGCAGTTTGGTATGGTAGGAGTATGTCAAAATTATGTGCTCGAGTTCGATTCTCGTTGGGATTGCTGATGGGCTGATTTCGGATGAGGTCAAGACTTCTTTCCAGTCGAGTCGAGATGGGATGAGAATGCCCTTTGGGAGGCAGCGCTATGTTAATGTTAATGAGGGCGTGAGGCATACTCTTAAATTTACTGTAAACTTCAGCTACCGCTAGGCACCATTTTCCAACTCTTGTGTAAGCATGCGGGGCCTTCTTGTATCATGCCACTTGACAGACCTCATCAAAAAAGGCCAGCATTCTTGTAGAAATCTTGAGTTTACAATGAGTCAAGTAAGCCAGATGGCGAGTCTTACTCTCTTTATAGAATGCATAATGCAAATCAACTAACATCAGGTATCGATAGAATTGACTATTTTCTGACGATATCCATTCTTAGTAATGCATATTTGTGCATACATATGCGGATATGTGAATAGAGAGAAGAGAGCAGAAACGTTTGTCCTCAGGTTATCATTATGTAATGGAGATTCATCACTGCGATTATTCAATGCTGGACAGTCTAGTAACTGAATCTATTCGCTTTCTGAGCATAAATGTATAAAGGGTGATCTTACTTTGAGGACCAGATCCCCTTAGGATATGCAAGAAAGGGATTTGTATTTATTATTCACTTAATAAGGTTGCCCACGCTTTATAACAAACTTTCGCCTCCATCTAAATGGAATTATGTTTTTTGTTTTAGCCCACTGCTCTGCACAACATTAATTCACAATAAATCTGTATTTGCACTTCTTAGATATTACACATTTATACATTCCCTGTGACACGAATTTAGACTTTTAGAAAGGAGTAAACTATGCTTTATCGCTCTGGAGACGTATCTTTTCATAAAACATTATACTAAATGTCACAGCTGATTCCAAACAAATCAAATATTACAAAAAATGTAGATTGTAAATAAAAAATAAAACGCTAGAGGTTTTTAAGCTAGAGTTTATTGGCAAAATTAAATCAGTTAACAAAAGTATAAAGTAATTAGCAAACCTAATAGATATAACAAATAAATACACAGCAATACACTATAAGAAAACGTGCACAAGCAAATGAATATTATAGTCAAAATTTTATATATGTATGCATTTATAATGTTCTATTAAAGTGTACTAAATCTTTACCATGCTCATCACCTCCCAATCTACAAAATGGAAGTATGACAACTTCAAAATCGAGTCCATGTCAATAACAAGAATTTAATCACATGACCAGTCATAAACTTATATTTTTCTAGACATTACAGTAATTAAAAAATTGCACTCATACAAGTGTTCCTTTGTTAGGTGTTATTTTTTCTACTCTAATAAGGAATTACTTTAAAATTAAAAATAATTAATGTATCAAAGATATAAAATCCACAAACGTCGTATATGTGAAGAGAAGTTAAGTTTTTCATGTATCTCTCGGCTCATAATTATTAAGCTCACTTCCATTCCAAATAAAAGAGTAAAAAGTAACTTTGCAAAAGTTAAAAATATCATTTTTTTGGATCTCGATTTCTTGGTCTTCCTTTACATAGCTGACAGTTAATACCACTTGTACCATACAATTGTAATTTATGCGAACACAAATGCCTAGGTAAGTAGCGTGTAGAGATATGTCGATGATTTTTCTTAATTAGTGAGCTTAAATATGCTTGTAGGAATGAAAAACTGCCCTAATGTTGTCCGTCATATGA